TGAAAACGGAAGATTAATTGGACCATCTCGCCTGTTCAAGCAAATTGTTTAGTGTAGTACTTTATCAGTTGGATAGAGTTGTATATGTGAAGGATTAAGGTGCAATTTAGCCGGAGACATTCCTGTAAGAAGATATCTTTACTCTGTTGTTTGCTTAAGTGGAAGACTTTTCTGGCTGTCAGCAGGCATGTCTACACAAGATGTTTACTGCGGAGCTAATTAGTTAGCTCCGCAGTAAAGTCTCTGCATTTATACATGCAGCCCTATTAGGCTGCAGTTAGCTAATAAACTCCACCGCAGGTTAGTATTTGTAAGTACAAGTACTATCCTGCTGCAGTTTTTTAGTGCACAACACGTGTAGATGCTGACAGGGCTGGCTGAGGCACGAGGGTTTTTGAGTTGGGGTGGGGGGGGTGCCTGGCAGCCCCGCGTTAGAGCACCCTGGTGCCCCAGCCAACCCCTCTGCACCACATTGAGCCAGACTGACTTCCTTGGTCCCTTGCCAGCCGGAGATGCTCTGGCCTTGCTCAACATGCTGCAGTCTCAGGCGCATATTCAAACAGCGTGCCTGGGAGCAATAAACTGCAGTGCGATTTGTGCCATACTTTATCATTGCATGCTAATAACACGTGTAGACATGCCCCGCTTGTCTTAAAATATTACCCACATAGGATTTCTTTAGATCCATTTACAAGCTTTCTGTTATCTTGACAAGAGCACATTTTGGGAAATACGGACTTCAGACAGCATATTGGAGGAGAAGTGACCAAACTTTCTAAATCTCCTAGCTGCAAACCAAAATCCTGACATGGCTGAGACCCAGAGGGGACACCAGCTTTTGAAATGAAACTTGCACTGGTGTTAGTGATCACTACACAGTGCCTCAGCTCATAATTTCCCTTTATGTTACTTTAAATAAATAATAAACAAGAATGGAAGAAAATAAAAATAGAAAATAATAAACAAAAGATGAAAATGCATTTAGTGAACTACCTCTATTCCTTCAGTAGTCTCACTTAAACTGTCTGAATATGGCTGAAGAGCTACAGTTTGGTTAAAGTGGACTAAAGACACACACATCTAGTTGTTGGGGGGGTGTTTGGTTATTTTAAGAGAAGAAAGAAAATCTTTGTGTTTAGAAAACGGAAGGGGAATTTAGGCTATTGTTTTGGAGAGCAAAAAATTAAACACAGAAATGTATATTTCCAGGCCTTTTTTTAAATGGAATGACCAGGGCTTTTTAATGGAATGAGTTCTAAATATTAAATATAAATGCTTTCAGTGAAACATTCTCTCGTCTCATCTTTTTTTCTAATTCACTTTCTCAAAATGAGAATTCTGCTCTCAAATAACAAGGACTAACAGCTGATACAGCAACATTTTGTCCACTTTTCTCCATGTGCTGTTTGAAGTGCTCCAAGTGGCTTTGAAGCACTGTAAACAGTGAGGGTGGCAGTATTCACAGCTGAAGAAGTATTTAAAGATGACCAAAGAACCTCAAAAATTACTGGGTGGGGGGGAGGAGGGGGACGGGACGGGACAGGACACGACACTGAAGAGCTTCATTTTGATAACGTGCCCATGGGGTAAAGGTGCAGAACAGGCAGACAGCAGTGATTGCACTGAACTTGAGGACCTCCAGAGGGTGAGAGGCATTCAGCAATTCCTGCTTTCCAAATCTATGACTGGAGAGCCCATACTATTGCATGGGTTTATGGCCATTTTGAAGTGCTCATGGTAGTGGGGTATAGGGCATATGTAAAACGTGCTCAATTTGAAGTGCTTTGGGATTTGGAGCATTTCAAATGCATGTCTGTGCATACCGTAATTCTGGGTTGTCCTGAGTAGAAATAGCAAACAGTGATGTTATTTCAATGCATATACGTTTAGACAAAGGTAAGAAAAACTGTGTTCCTGTAAATTCTGGTGGAACTGTATCTTAATACTGATCTTGGCATCCTTTTTCCCCACTTACTGCTGGATTCCTGTTTCCTATTTCCCTTTAACAGGCTCTTTATTTGCAAATGACTCACTACTGTATTTCACCCTCTCAGACTTCTGGGCTCAAGTCCCAGAGGTCCTCACTTAATCAATCTTTAAGCATACTTTAACAGAGTGTGCTATCTAGCCTCTCTGTTCATTGAGAACATATGCATGACTCCTTTCATGAGTGTGTTCTCCCACCACTACCACCCACTTCCATCTGATTCTCCCCTTTTGTTTAGAATGTTCTCAATAGGCAGGACAAAGAGTGAGTCAGCTGAACACTTTAAAACGAATTTTAAAGGGATATCATTAGTTTAAAAATCATAATTGTAAATGTTGTGAACTTGAGTAAATCTGTTAAGTGAATACAGATTTTTTTTTAATTGTTTTACTTTTTTGCATTTCTCTGCTTGAGGGGAAAAAAACTGAAGTGTTTCACATTTTTACTTAATTTTTCTCTCTTGTGTATGCTACCCTGCTACTGTGTGAAAGACCAGTAGACGTGTGGACATACAAAATAGTGGAGTAAAGGCCTGCTATACCTGTGTGTCTGTAAGTAGCACTGGCTAAGATGTGCCTTTCTCTTGCTGCCTCTTCCTATTCACAAGTTTCTTCTTGTTCCTGTCCACAAATTGATCTAACTAAAGAAGAGAAAAATCCACTATAAGCACTGTCACAATCCCTGCTTCCAGACATGCCTGCCATGCCATCCGGTTTTACAGCAGGAGTGTTTGGGGATTACTTTAGTGCTTGTTGCTTTTTCATTCCTTGTCTTTTTTGTTTTTGTGAAAATGGTGAAGTAAAAACTCCCAGTAGTTTGTCCTACTTACTATACAAAAGGCTTGGAGAGTGAGAGGTTTCTCTAGTACTTAGTACTCAAGCTTCTCTTGGGGGATCACAGCACTTTTCTACTAGTCCCAGCACCTATGGAAAACACTTCTCCACAGGGTTGGGGAAAGTACCTCCAGCCTTTCCTTCCTTCCTGGCTTCTGCTTTTTTGCTGCTGTTTGTTCTTGCAGATGGGAATGCTTCTGTGTTTGCTGGCACCAACACTGAATGATTGTACAGGGTTCCCATCTCCTCTTCCATGAGTCTTGGGAAAGTATGTGTTTGTGTTGCAGGTATTTTCCCATACCTTTCACTCTGGATTGCCTTCTGTCTTCTACCCAAGCCCTGCCATTGTGCTTTCTTTTATTGTCTTATCTTACTTCTGTGCCTGATGGTGGGGCAGGGGATGGGACACCTGTTAGATCCCGGACTGATGTAACATTTACAGCGCTGCAGATGGCTTTGTTCTTTTTTGTTTTGTAGCTATACAAATGTCGAAGGAACAGACATTTACACCCCCGATGGTGCTACAAAAATGGTGCCAGTGCTAGGGAAATGTTCCTGTTCAAAACACTATGTTTTGTGGCACCACATGTAACATCTGTACAATTGCATGTAGTGCTATGGGGCAAGGGGGGCTTTAACAGTGCTCCTGTCTCTCCCTCTCCCCTCCAACAGGGGAGAGAGAGAGCTGGGGTTTCCATGAGAGCCTGCTGTGATGAGCCAACTGACAGTGCCTGCTGCTGCTCCAGTGACCAAACCAGTTGTAGCTGTTCTCACTGCCCGCCCAGGCTGGGCAGTGAGCCGGTAGACAGCCCACTGTTGTTCTAGGACTCCTGACATAGCTCAGACAGGCACCCCTGGGAGCAGATGGAGCAACAAAACAGTTACTTTTAAACTGCAAATGAGCATTTAGTGTCAATTTAGGTGCCATGGGGCAGGCAGTGCAGAGGGTTTGGAATTGAAAGGGTCTTCCACTTATTCTGCCTAGTTATTCTGCCTAGTTCCCAGTGCTGGGATTGGCCCAAATACCAAAAAAGCAGCTTCACTCAAGTTGTGCTGAGAGAGTATAAGAAATGTGAAGTACTACAAAATACTTTCTTTTTCAGCATAATCCCCTGGCTACCGTGCTAAAAAGTTGCCAGAGAGGCATGCTCTCCACCTAGGGAGCAATGGGGACTGTTCCCTTGTTCCATCTGCTTTATGCGTGGTAGTGCTTAAGATACGATGTGGAAAACTGACCTTCAGTGAAGCAGTGATGTTGACTCTGCCAAATACATTAAATAACATGCCGAAGAAGAAAAAAAAATCATTTTGTGAATTTCCTTATTAAATTATTGCTATTTAATTCATTAAACAAAATTAAATTTCAGATGGAAATAGGTTTAAATTGACGTCCTTTTCTTAAAAAAAAAAAAAAAAAAGTTCTCTTCAGAATAAAATAGATTGTGAAGTGTAACTTTTTTGTCTTATGAAAACTTCTATTTAAAAATGTCAGGTCACATTTAAGTTGCATCTTGTAATGTGTTTGAACCAAGTATTATCTTTTTTGTTTCACATTTTAGAGTAAATTTTTGGCTCTAAACTTAAATCATGATCTGTTAATACAGAGTCAGTGAAGCAAACTTAGAATCAAACCATAATTTAAGGAAAAAAAAAAAAGTTCCACCATTAAAATTCAACGTTAGTAGAAATGTCTCCCTAAATAATAATGATAATACAGAGATTAAAAAAAATAAAATTAAAGGAGACCTGAACTATCCAAGAATCTCTAGTGATCATTTTCTGATGAAATTATTAATACAAAAATGTAGATTTCTTCACATAATTTAAGGATTTTTAAAACATTTTTATATGAAATGTGTTATAGGAGTTGATAAAATACTAAAATTACTTTTTAGAGTTTTAAAAACCCTAAAATATGATTTCCTTTATTTTAGATTTCCTTTGTGTTGATTGAACTCCAATAAAAATACTTTAAAACAAAAAAAAGAAAGAAAGAAAAGAAAAGGCCAGAGTATCACTTACGTGCAAGCTAAACTATCCAAATTTTCCTACATTTTTTTGTAACTAAACTTGTGTGTGTGTTAGATTATAACAGTATGCACGGGAATTAATTTCTATGCATTTTTCTTCTTTTTTCTTTTAATAATGAAAAAATCCTTTTCTTTTTTTTTTCTCTACAGGCTTGCTTAAGCCAGACTTCTCATCGATAGAATGAAAAAGTTTAAGAGGAGACTTTCCCTAACGCTGCGTGGAAGCCAGACCATTGATGAATCTCTGTCTGAGCTGGCTGAACAAATGACAATTGAAGAGAACAGTAGCAAAGATAATGGTAAATATATTTGCCTTCCTTTTTTTAAACTGAGGGGAAACTCCTAGTTGAGCATTTCTTTTTCTAAAAACATTCCATTGTTTATAATATTTTAGCAATTTCCTGGGATTTCCTTTCTCATTTGAGTAATACAAAATTGTTTTCTTGAAATAGCACCTTGTATAATTCAGTCGAATATTAAATTTGGACAGCAAACGTTATCAAATATATAAATATATTTTAATGTGCTGGTTGAAACTGCTGTAAGGTGGATACATACGTGGTTGGATCTTGGCAGTCAAAGAGTAGTTATCAATGGCTCAATGTCTAAATGGGAGGAAGTATCATGAGGGCTTCCCAGGGGTCTGTCCTTGGTGTGATAACTGTTCAGTACCTTTATAAAGAACTCAGAAACTTGGATTGAGCGCACATGTGGCATACTTGCAGATGACACCAAGGTGGGTGCAGTTGTAGACACTTGGGAGGATAGGATTAGTGTTTGTGATGGTTTGAAATATTTTTGGACCTTTTTCCAGGGTATCAAATAAAATTCAGTAAGGATAAGTGCAAAGTCCTGTGCTTGGAAAGGAACAATGAGATACACAAGTGTAAATTGGGGAATGACTGACTAGGCTGCAGTACTGCCGAAAAAGAACTGGTATGTGCAGTGGATCACAAGCTGAGTATGAATCAACAGTGTGCAATTGTTGCAAAAAAACAAATAGCATGCTAAATTGTGTTGTCATCTACAAGCCAAGAGACACTATTATTCTACTCTGTTCAGCACTGAGAAGGCCCCATTTGGAGTACTGTGTCCAGTTTTGGGTACCACACTTCAAGAAAGGTGCGGACAATTTGGGAAGAGCCCAAAGAAGAGCAGAAAGAGTTATTAGAAGGCTGGGAAATATGACCGATAAGGGAAGGCAGGAGAATACATGACTGGGAGAGGATTTGCTGTCTTCAAATACGTGAAGGGTAGTTATAAAGAAAGTGTTGATAAACTCTTCTCTGGTTGTAGCAGATAGGATGAGAAGCAACAATCTTAAATTATAGTAAGGGAAACTTAGACTGGATATTAGGATGAACTTTTCTAGCTACTGGGGTAGCTGAGCACTGAAATAGATTACCCAGAGAGGTTGTGGAGTCTCCATCATGGAAAATTTTTCCCAGTTAGGCACTTGCCTAGGATGGTTTAGATATGGATGATCCTGTTTTAAGCAGGGGTTAAGCTAGATAATCTCCTGAGGTCTCTGCCAGCCCTTTTTTTCTTTTATTCTACAAATGTCTTAAATAGCAAGTATTGGTGATCCCTTTTTTTTAATCTCACCCTTTAAAATATCATTGGTTTGAACTGCTTTAAATCTCTTCAGTTTTCAATAATTTGTTATTTGGTGATATACAGATAACAGGAATTCTAGTAGTACAATTAAAATTGCTGCTTCTCTTATGTAGTTTTCAGAGAGAAGTAATCAAGGTCTCCTATAATCTGTTAATCTCTGAATGATGCATTCTGGAGCTTCTCAGGCATCTGGAGTCAGCCACATTGGGCTGCAATAACTGAGCAGATATATGCGCACACTTATGTATGGAGAAATCTTTGATCTCATGCATTTTGGCTGTTGCAACAACTTAAGAGATTCTTCCCTCTGCTGCTTTTATGGTTTGTCCTTCCCCTCCCCACTGCATATTTCTAGTTCTTACCTCCACTACTGACAGTTATAGTTTTCTGAAGTAGCAACAGAACTGTTGCAGGTCTGATTCTTGTCAGTTTTACAGCTGCTTGCGTGCCTGAGTAATGGCAGTTAAAACTCACAAATCTGGACAGTAGTAGAAATGTTGGAATGTGCTCTACAGACGTTTAAGCTCTATCCATGTGATATTGCTTACCAAACTTGTGAAAGGTGACCTCGGTTTCAGAAAAATTATAACATTTGTCTCCAACTCTTCTTTAAACCCCCGCCCCAACTTTATGAGCCACTGTTCTGGTGTTCCAAGGGATCAAACACCACAGTTTAGAAGATTCTTATTTAACAGGTTACAAGTTTTTTGTTTTGTTGGGGTTTTTTTTTTTACCTTTGTCTATTATACAGATGTTTGCTATCAGTTATTTTAGTGTGAACCTTTACATTTTGCCTATTCCTTATATAGTGTATTTTGGGCTATTCCACGTGCCTATCCCACACTGTCTCACCTGCAGTTGCCTCTGTTAATGGTTAATTTTTCAGAGTTTTTCATATTTGGGAATGGAAACTGAAATGACTTGCATGGAATCTAGAGCAGGAAAGGTATGGGGTTTTTTTTTTTTCTCAGAAGTAGCATATACAACCTGCAGGAACCTAGAATGCATGACTTAAGCATGTACTTGAACTGTCAATCCAGTAATCAGAGATGGTCATCACAATGTAGGTCCTATTTTGTGATCAAGGAGATCATAGAATCCTAAAACAAGTAGGAGTGGAAGAGACCTCCAGAGGTAATTTAGTTCGCCCCCCTACTTGACAACATTATCCCTATCCAAACCATCCCACAAGCACTTGCTTAACTTAATCCTAAAACTGTGCATTCAACCCTGTCACGCATCTACAAGGTATGTTGCCCAAAGACACCAAAAGTACCCTAATGTGCCACAGGTTAAAGCACGGAAACACTCGCAGTCAATGTCTTGCTGCTGCAATGTTGTTAAAATGCACTAGAGAGATCCAAGGCAGACAAGGTTCCTTGGGTGAATTTGATATCTTTTATTAGACCAACCCAAATGGTTGGAGAATAGTTATTAAGCAAGCTTGTTTAGGGCTGGGCTGGGCTGGGCTGGGCTGGGCTGGGCTGGGGAGTCAGAGATCCAAGGAAGAGGAAGGCAGCACATGCACAGTTCATGTGAGTCTGACCATGAAGTATAATAGGGTAAAATTCCTTTATGGGCCTTGACCCTCGGCAGAGTGGCAAGCCTTTCTAACTGGGAACCTCTCCTGTTTTTAGTTCAAGGAACAGCATTGTCAAAAAACCCAGCTTTGCCTGTAGCCAACAACCAGTGCTTTTGAGGAAGGCCAAAAAATCCTGACACTTATAGTAAGACAAGGGAAAAAAATTCTTCTGGGCCCTGTGTGGCAACCAGCAAAGTCCAAAAGCATAGCAAAGCTAAACACCCTGCATTCTGCTGTGCAACCTGGGGACAGCAAGCATAACTCCATACATCAGACCCTTTTACTGGCCCGCCATGACTCCCCTTTCGGTATCCTCTCTCCTTAAATTGTCTTTCATAATTAGAGTCAGTTGTGGAGCTCTATAGAGATTGCTGGGTAAAAAGGGAAAAAATAGAGGGGGTACTTGAAGATCTCCAAGTAAGCCAACTGGGAGGTATAAAAAGGAGAGGAGAAATAAAAGTGTGCAAATATTGTGTGGAATGGAAGAACGTTAAAAGACTAGTGAAGCTAATAGCATACTGCGAGTAAAAGTGGAGGGAAAGATTTGAGATTTGGGACATGGAAGACAATAGTCATCCATGAAAAGGGAAGAAAACTGGCATAGTGTCATTGATCAGATTGGTAGCACCTGCAAATATGCTGGAATATCCCCATATAATTTGTTGTATGGCGTTTTGATAATCAGATGCCAAAAAGATAATTTACACATGGTAGGTTATGTGCACTGAAAACAAGAGTTCCCTTTTTTCAGGGAGCAAAAACAAGTCACATTCATGAAAGGTGACCTTACAATCTATGAATTAAAGGCCAGAAGGGACCTCGGAAGATCATCAGGTCCAACCCCCTGCACCAAGCAGGAAAGACAACTGGGGTCAGGTGACCCCAGCAAGGTGACTGTCTAGTCTCCTCTTGAAGATTTCCAGGGTAGGTGATTGTACCACCTCTGGAGGGAGCTTATTCTACAATCTGGACACCCTGACTGTGAAGACGTTTTTCCTAATGTTGAGCCTGAATCTATTTTCCAGGAGTTTGTGGCCATTACTCCTGGATTTCCCCTTGGGTGCCCTGGTGAACAGTTGCTAACCAAGCCCTTGATGTACTCCCCTAGCGTAGCGGTAAGCTGCTACCAGGTTGCCTCTTAGCCTTCTTTTCCTCAGGCTGAAGAGTCCCAGATCCCTCACCCTTTCCTCATATGGCTTGCCTTGTAAGACTGATTATATGGGTGGCTCTTCTTTGGACTCTTTCAAGCTTGTCAATGAATGTGATCCAGCTGAATAGTAAGAGGGAAAACAAAATGATGGGTGGTTTCCTAACAAGAATTAGACTGCTGCAGTTGGAGAACTGCTGGGCTAGCTGTCTCCAAAGGTAAATTTAATGATTGGGCATATATAGTAATTCTCAGGTCCTTTGACCTAATTACTATAATTACAGACTTAGAAGGAAGTATTTTTAGTTTGACTTTTAGGAATTAAGTTTGCTAATGTGATACTGCTTAAGTCTTCATTTGGTAGTTTGACTTTCTAGACTTCTCTTTAATGGAATGCTAATAACTTTCTAACATTACATTCCTAATGTTTCTGACAAGACTACTCTTACAGCTAATTGTTGTATCCAAGATAACTGTACTTTTATAATTTTGTCAGAGTTGGGGAAAGGTCTGTGACAGTGCTAGATTCATGTTAGCTACTAAATAAATTCAGGAAGATGAAGGTACACTATGTGCAACCAAAGATTAAATAGAAGCAGTAAATACTATTTTTTTCCTCTGAAACTTGATGTTAGATATATTGGGAGAGAAAGGGGAGCAGGAAAAAACACCTGCACTGAATGGGACAAAAATCAAATGAAGAAACCTGTAGTACACATTTCTCCATTATTCAGGGTTTACATCCTTTTCTTCCTGTCAACACAGATGTAGAAGTTGAAGGTCCCCTCTTAGTTTAGAAGTCTGTGATGAAACAGTGGTTAAAAGTAATTTTACCATCTGTGATTTCTTTTGGAGCCTGCCTATAGTTCACAGACAGACTTTACTATGGCTGTTCTTGCCTTTGTCCTGTTGAGGCCTGATTACTGTAATGTGTTTCTAATAAGTTTCCCTTG